TGAAAAGGATGAACATATTTCTTTTGGAAGGTCATGAATATATAGATATATAGAGCATATGAATAAGTTTTGCTAAATATCATGTAATGGAAATGTGCATGATACTTTTATATGTGGTTTATTACTGAAAATGTGCTACAAAGGATGACATTTTTCTTTTGTCATCTACACTAAAAAATGTCAATGATTAATCTTAATAGAACAACATTTTTGTATTAAAATAAACAAAAATGATGCATCCAATAACTAACAAAATAATTACTACATTGATTTATTCATTATTTTAAATGGTAGTATCTTTTATTATGATCCTATTTAACCTATTTAGTATATAAATCTTTCAGTATGTTGCATGAAAAATATTGGCAATAAAGAGATTACTTTTCCACTTTGAAGTATAATGGAGAAGTTAAGGGAGGAAGTGTTTACCAAATTCAAAATGGGGTATGAGTGAATAACATTACTTTATGATAGCAATGATGCCCAGGAGATTATTGAAATGACTGTACGCAACATGTTCCACTGGTACATCTCAGGGACATGTTTAATATCTTGAAGGCCTGAAGCCATCATTTCAGCAACAAAATATTGCAGTTATTATTACTGAAGATAAAAGCAAAGTGAAAGTATTTCTAGAGATTGCAGTTTTACTCTTTGCTACATTTAATTTTTAATTGCAAAATGAAATATATTTTTTAAAAAGTAATCATTGGGCAAATTTACAAACACTGTCCAAATGCTTCAAAAGAACAGACTTCCCAGGGTTGAAAGATCCAAAAGTGAACCAGGACTTAATGCATATAGAGTCTGAATGCAAAAGTTTAAGTGATTCAAAAGGAATTTGAAGGGCCAGGCGTGGTGGCACACACCTGTAATCCCAGCACTCAGGGGGCTGAGGCAGGAGGATTGCTGTGAGTTCGAGACCAGCCCCCTAAAAAATCCAAAATGAAAAAAAAAAGGAATTTGGTTTCAAGTAACTGAAGTGACTAAATTGTTAAAGCCATTTACAAAGACTTATTTGTGATTTTATGATACTCTAGCTAAAAAAGAGAAACAGAAAATTGGCTAGATGATAATTTGTATCTATGGCTCCAGCTAACTGTAATTTAGCTTACTACTGAATATTGACAAAAGATTACAAACACTATCCTCTCACCAGTATGGAATTGGTATAATCCCCTCTATAAAGTATTATTTTAAAAGCTTTAAGACATAATTAATCTGAAGTTCATTGTATGTTATGTTGAATGCTTTTAAGAATTTTATGGATCTAAAAGTGTTTTAAATTTTACTAACATGATTCCTATGATAATGTTCAGGGATAAATTACAGAACTAAGGAAAACAGTATTTGACCTTTGCTTCAACATCTAAGCAAACAGAAATTACAAAAGTGGAAAAGAGTGGAAATCACATGGTAAATTGCAGAACACTGTATGTTTTAATATAACTTTATTTTATTCCTAAACTGTCAACTCCATCAATTTTAATCAAAGTCTGTTTTAATAATATATTATTTAAATGTCAGTTTTTAATTTTTAGATTTTTCATTATATGAACTCTTTTGTTTTGTTTGTTGACATTTACACTGTTTTTACTCATTTTTTTCATTGAATTTTCTAACCCAGTTTTATGTCCATTCAAGAATGAGTTAAGAAAGAATAGTAGGAGAAAAGTAATAAGGGAAAGAAAAAAATAGGAGAAAATGAAAAAATGGAAATAAAATGTTTGTAAATGGGGAGAGTAGGAGGGGGTGAAGGGAGGGCAGGGACAAGGGGAAAAAGTGAAAACCAAGACCTGTCATATAAAGGTACAAGATCCCAATAATGAATGTAATTGTACTGTATACCTCAAATGTACCAAGAAACTCAATGAGAAAAAAAAAAAGAGAATATATCACAATTTAATTGTACCAATGTTACTCTGAATAGTATCTATCCTTTATTACTATGCCCAGCACCATGTCATAGGAATAATTATACTGGTTTAGCAAAATTAATTCTATATAAAATATGATATTCTATTGCTTTTTGAAAAATGTTTTTCTTTCATTCTCTGACAAAGCTAGGGTTTATATATATATAATGTATTCTTATCTGTATTATGTTTTAGCACTTTCTGGACCCACATAGCAATCACAAACATAACAAAGGATGCAGAATCTCCTTTGACCTCCCTAGTAGATGCTCCCTGTTTTCAAAACAGGCATGTAGCAGAGATCCAAGGCTGCAAAACAAGATGAATTGAGCAGAAGAAGATCATTAGAAGGAACAATGCGGCACTCATCATTTTGTGCTGTCACAACACCATCTGTGTTGCACCAGACTGGAGTAACTTTGACATGACAAATAAGCCTCTTAGGGGAAATGGGGATTCTATTAATTGTTCCACTGTCTGGCCAAACACTAGACTCTCCTCTAATGCAGTGTGATATACAATTGTTATTATTTAATGGTAGAAATGAATTATGAATTTTTAAATAGTGTTTATCTTCTCTGGATGAAAAATAAAATTTAAAGTATCGCAATTTCACTGAGGTGGTATAAATATATGCAACCAAATATATGCAACCTTATAATTATATTTATACCTTACCTGGGGAACTGACTCCAAAAATAAATATTGCTTTCTTCACTCCACTGAGAAATATTGTTTAGTAAGGCTGCATCATATTTCCTTATGACAGTCATTTCCTTCAACTGCAAAAAATGGTGAGATCGATTAGTTCAAATAACTTTTAACCTGGAGAAACTGAGCTTTCCATGAGTATCACTATTATCAGCAACAATAATAATCGCAAATAACATTTTGACAGGTTCTATATACCAGACACTCTGGTAATACCTATCTATATTATCTCATTTAAGCCTCAGAACAATACTGTCAGCCTTTGGTTAAGCTTGCTTGTATTGTTTTTATTTTTTATTTTAAATTGAATTTATTGGTACATTCTAGGTAGACAGTACAGTTACATTCATCACTGGGATCTTGTACCTTTACATGCCAGGTCTTGGTTTTCATTTTTTCCCCTTGTCCCCATCCTCCCTTCACCCCCACCCCCACTCCCCTCCGTAAGCTTGCTTTTAGATCACGAGTTAGCAAATATTCTTGGTCAAATGTTAAAAGGTCAAATAATATTTTTCAGCTTTGCCAACTTTACAGTCCCCACCACAACTCTTCATTTATTATTTTATTTTATTTTTGTACCAGGATCGAACTCGGGCCTTGCGCACGTGAGGCAGGTGGCAGGACCACTGAGCTAAATCCCTGGCCCTGCATTTGAAGTTCAACAACATTAAACAACTCACCCAAGTCACTAACTGATGACATTAACATTTGAAAGCAGACTCCCACACTGTGTTACACTTCTGCCAGCATTCTATAATCCTTTGCACCTTCTGCAACAAATGGAAAGATGAAGAAAATGTGTACATTTGAATGCTTTGAGAAATGGTCCTAGAATTTCTCTCAAAGAGAGAATGCATTTGTTTTAAAGGAGTCTTGATATGCCACTCAGGGAAAGCTGAGAAATAGAAGACATGTGTCAGCAGGCCTGAAAGGAGAACAATAGATAAAAACAGATAGTTGGAGGTGCAGCAAGGGAGAGAAGAGAGAATAGCTGAATGTGTGGTGGGTGATTATAACCTGAAATATTTAAAAGCCAACAGACCTGAATGATTTTAGAAAAGGGATTGGGAGTTTCTAACATGCTGTTACTTAGGCTACAAGTAATAGAAAGCAGTGCTCCAATAGGCTTAAAAATATAGAAAGACATTTTCTCACATAATCTAAATCAAAAGGTAGAAGAGATTTCGGGTGTGGTATAGTCAAAGCTCCAGCTCTGTTTTTCTGCTCTTCCCCACCTCTTCCCTCTTCTCTGTGTCAACTCTATTATTAGAAAAGCTTTCTCTACACTAGCAAGATGACTGTCTGTGCCAACTGCAGCAGCAGCTTCCCTTTTCTTGTAAAGTGAACAAGATAAGAAAAGAATCCTATCTTCTAATAGGGCATATATTTCTACCAATTTCTCTTCCAACTTGATTAATATAAATCCATTGAGTTAATAATCAATCCAGGAAAGGTCCCAAGTGTGTAGGGTTTAATTATGGATTCCTGAACCATTCTTTGGAGAGAATGGAGTTCCCAACATTGGCCTGTTAGATCACCTAGGCTCTGCAGCTTCAAATGTGGCTATTTCAACAGTCACATAGGCTGCAGGGAGACGGTGGCTATCTGAGCTAATGCAAGATTCTTTTAGGAATGCATAAGCACAGACTGAACATAGATGAAGATAACATACATCTCTAACTCATAAAATAAAAATGCTTATGTAGGTCTGAAACAAGACTGACACAAGAAAAAAAATATCAAACAAACAAAACAACAAATGGAGCTTGCTATTAACACGGAGCATACTTCTGCCTTAGAAAGGATCGCACTGTATTATTGGTCAGCATGCACTCATGTTTACATTCCAGGCAATGTGGCAGACATACAGTATAAAGAAAAATGTACAGGCCCTTGTGGATGACAGCACACGAACAGATATTTTGAAACAACCTGAGAGTAGATTAATGGGTGTATTTGGGATGCTGTAGATGTACCTCAGACTGGAGGAGTCAGAGAAGGCATCTAAAAGAGATGCTTCCACTGTTCTTTGTCAATTTCACAAACAGAAATTAAAGCTCTAAAGCAAAAATATACATATTAATATGTTAAAAAATAAAATTTTTTCCTTAAAGAAGTATAGATATGGCTAATTATCTTTCACAATATTGCAATATCCCTTGAAATGTGTTATATTAATCACTAGTAAAATCTAGAAATGATATGGACAGAAATTATACACAAATACAAAAAGACATACATATAAGCAATATGGATTTCTACTTAGCAGCTTAGCATATATATTACATTCATTAATGTTCTCTTACAAATTTAGAAATCAAATCTAAATATCTGTAGTAAGTCTATATGGTAAACATATAAATGTAATTTTGATTTGATAGAATAAACATCTGGAAAATTGCTGTGGTATCTCTTAAATGTGTAATTTATTTTCAAATGAGAACACATTTTATGTACAGGATATTTGTTTTCTTAATAATGGAATCTGGCACAAGTTGCTGAGAAGAAAGCTTGCATTTGTACTTAAGAAAAGCACTCATAGTTGAACATTTACAAGAGATATACTTAATCACTCAATCTAGAGTGTAAGAAGGTATGAGTTAATGGGTAAAGGAAATAAGACTCAAAATATAAATGCTTTTAAATTACCTTTCCCCTAGATAAAAATTATAATACCACGGCTTTCAAGCACACATTAAAAATTCAACAATGTACTGGTCTTTTTTCTTAGAATTATTTTAAGACTGGGTTTTTCAACTATAACACTATTGATATTTGGAGCTGGAAAATCTTTGATGTGGGAGCTGTCTTGCACATTAGGAGATGTCTGATAATATCCCTAACCACTACTTACTAGATGCCAATAGAATCTCATAGAAGGGACAATAAAAAAAATGTCTTCAGCCATTGTCAAATATCCTTGGGGAAAGAAAATTTCCCTTCTTTGTGAACTTCTGCCTTAAGGAATAATTTTTCTTAATAAATATAAAATAATATCACTCTTTAATAATGACTAACAATTAAATTTCTATTATTCATTTTTAATACATAAACAAACATTTGTGGAAAATGATGAGTGGCCTGCTTCCAAAGTTCAAGTGCAGGATATCTTCAAAATCTGTATATATACAGATTTATAAACAGCTTAATGTTGATGAAAAGCATGGGGTCAATAGAGATAAAAAGCCATTCACAGTTATTCCAAAACTAATTACAAAATATAAAGATAATAGTTCTAGGTAATGGTCTGCACCTGAAAAAGACACCTGGATCATCCCAAACTGTGGGAAATAAATGGTGAGGGAATTAACAAGTTATCCAGGAAAAACAAGGTAAATGAGAGCATTAAAAACAATTAAAAACTAGAGGTAACTAAAAGATTCAAAACAGTTTTGAAAAAATAATTTTCAGAAAATCAAAGACTAATTAAATGCCAGGACTATCCTTTCTTCACATACGTATTGGTTGGCTCATCCCCTGGAGATGTAGGTAATTTAGAGAAGGTAGAAACTATACTGGCTATTAGAATCTTAGGATTTTTTTTTAACCATCGCATAAAGAAATGTCATTAAGTGGAGCCTGATTTCTGCTTAAACATCAGGCAAACATTTTCCATATGAAAATTAATATATGCATATTTCCTTATCATCTTCATGAATACATCTTCCCCTCAAAACATCTAACACATTGTCTGTCACAGTGTAGGCTCAAATGGATTTTTTAAAAAATAAATAATTTAATATTGGATAAATGATTTCTCCTTTTTCTATCACCACAAAAAACAATATTCCACAAGAACAACTTTTAGCAAGAAAGGCTCTTTTAAAGATCTGTATCTTTTTTGACATTTCATAATGTTCAATATTTTACAAAATTAAACTACATTCTAAAATCTCCAACTTCTTATGACTGAATAATATTTACAGTAGCACTTTTAATACCCTGACACTTACAAGAAACCTATGGCAAATGTTAGATAAGGAAAACAGCTTTTGTTTTTTAAATCTGTGAGCTCAAAACCCACATCATAGAGCAAAATAATACAATATATGATACATATTATTGTAAAGCACTTGCCTTACAAAAGGAATTAAGTGAAATAAAAAGATGGCAGTGAGTCAGTGTAAAATAACCCAGTCTTGAGTAATCAAGTCTCCATTCATTGCTCTGGCTTGATTATAGAGGAAATCCAGAACAATTCTGGTTTTATGTTATTCTTCATGTTTTAGGCACTTTGTACAATTAAGTGTTATGGCTCCCTAGAATTCTTAAACAAAATAATAATTAGTATTTTGCACTCATGAATCTCACAAATCCTGAGATAATATAGCAAGGAGTCAAAGCCAGATGCACTATGAGAAAGACAGAAAAATAGAATTCATTTTAATGTTCCTATATGACACAGAGACCAGTATTTCTCAACCCTGTTTACATATTATAATCACCTGCAAAGCTAAAAGGGCTTTAAAGTCCAGATGCCATTCTCAGAAATTCACATTTAATTGGTCTAGATTAGGCTCAGAGCCTCAATAGTTTTAAACGATCAACACATAATTTCACTATACAACACTGAAATATAGGCATAAGTGAATACCAAACAAGCAGTATCAACAATGAGGAAGAAATATCCTTATTATTTGATAGCTTAGTTTAGTTTATTAGACTGATCATATTCCAAAATTTCAGGCAAACTGTCAGTCTACATTAGTATTTGAAAAAGAACAAACTGTTGAATAAGAATTTTGGTTGTGCAGAGCAATATGAATTACAAATATCCTCTCTTTTTCTCTTACTGAACACTTTGTAAGTACTGTCAAAATTTTGAATGTATTGATACATTCTTCAATATTAAAAGACATAACAATTAGTCATGGAGATTGATATAATGCTTTCAGAGAGAAAATTCTCCACATCCAAAGTAGTGGCACACAAAAAGTAGATAAAGATTTGGCTAAGCCCACTATAAATCAGTTGTAAGGGTATTCATATTATTACCAAATGAAGATGGCATGAAATAACAGAATTCTGAGTAAAATTGGGAATTTAAAAGCAAACAATGGCCATTTAACTGAATTTTGCCATTATATCAGTGTTAGCCAAACATAAATATAATCTGTATTTTTCAAAATATATTTATATTTAACCAGTTCTACATGTTTGCAAATGATAATAGAATTAAAGGGTCTAGGAAGTCTGTTATAAATACAGAGCTTATCGGTCATGTTAAGTTTTTTCAGTTACAGTTGTGGAAGTTTTCCCACTTAAATATTAAAAGTAGTCATGTAAGTTTTTTCAATTAAAATATAAAAAGTGAAATTATAGAGAGAGTTGTTAATGCTATTTGAAGAACACTGTGTAATACCTAAAATTTTGCCAGGAAATTTGGTTAAAAGTAAATTTTTTCTGTCATGGAAGGGTACAAGATCCCAGTGATGGATATAACTGTACTGTATACTTAAAAAGTACCAATAAACTCAATAAGATTTAAGAACTAAATTTTTATTAACTCTTTTAACTTATTAATTGATCAGTAAATACAGTTTCAATTCAATGACGAGATAGATTCTATTAAACCAAACACTGAATTTAGGCATATGTGCTTTGGGCTTATTTTTTGCTATTTGAAATATATTGTAAAATAATTAAAGTAAAGAAACTATATTGATACTCTCAAATCTGTAAGGTTTGAAAATAGTTTACATTGAACAAGTTAAAATTTATCTACTGCTATTTATATTGGACAGATTTTATTGTTCTTATT